ATGTAACAATAATACACTAGTTATATCAGAAAAAAGGAAAGATGAGAGATGACAATTAATCTTTTTAATATGAAAAAGTGTATGGTGTCCAAAAATTCCTTGAGGGTAAAGCTCTCAAAGAATGCTCTCCGCAGGAGCATTGGCTTCTTCACATGAAGGAAATTTTTTTTAGCAATGTTATAACATTATTTATATATTATTAATATAATTTGTATCACCATTAAAGGTCACATGATATAAAATTTTATTGCATTTTTGAGCATAACTTACAATTTCTGAGTTTTGATATTTTTCCCAAAATTGGCCACGAGGTGCAGCAAGTTGCGGGACTAGGTGACTTGCACCATAGCATTAAAATTTTCTCCTCTTCTGTTAAATTGCCATGAAATAGATCCACTTCACAATTGTTAATTTTATTTGCAACATGTGTCTTGAGTTTTTCACAAATTCTAGGTGATGCACAATATATTATAAATCTTCCAATAATATTTTCACCAATTTTTTCAATTACTTGATCATAATTGATTTCTTTTTTTGTTTTTTTTTTTTTATGAACATTCAGAAAAATGTTGGGGTGAGTAAATGATATAGATTCCATTCCTATAAGGGTTTTTATCCACAAGATATATGAGCTATATAAATCTTGATGTGCTTCCATGGTGTTCAGTTGATATGAATCATCACAAACAAAAATACTTTGATCTTTTTGATAAAATAATTTATAATTAATATTATATTCTGTTAATGATTTATACCAATTTTTCATTTTCGAATGCTAAATATAAAAAATATTTTATTAATAAGATAGTTTTACTAAACCATAAGAAGCTATCATTAAGCTGGTGAAAAATTTGCTTTAAATTAAATAAAATTATTTATTTATTTCAGAAAGAGTAATTTTTACTATACATTGTATACTTTGGTTATGGGATTGGCAACTTTTTTTGAAGAATTAAGAATTTATAAATCTTTACTAATTAATTTTGTTTGAAATTTTCCAAAAAATTTAAAAGGATTTTGTATTTACATGCAACAAAATTTCGAAGATGTTTAAACATGCTTTGCGTAACTCTATGTAACATGCATAAATTTGGATTTTTGAGCCCGGATCTACATATAATTTGGCACGTGATTTCCCCTACCCTTAAGGGAAGTTTGATTTTATTGGATGATTTTACCAAAATTAGAAAATTTAGGGAAAATCAAGATTTATTGAACATGTAACGTTGATCACAGCTAGTGTTTCATGTCACAATCCAAAAAAGGAAACAAAATGGTTGTAAAGGTGGTAGCAACCATCATTAAAAGTTGCAGCAGGTATCCTTAATCACAGCAAACAAAAAATTTAATGTCTATTCCTATATTACCATTACTACCACCACTGTCATATCATTCTTGTTCTATTGCTATTGTTATTACTACTGCCACTACTGCTTTTAATGTGCCATTATTATATTTGATCCCATTACATTAGAGAAAGTTAAATCTTTCAAGAAATTTGCATAAATGTTCTATTTATAAATTGATTATCCCTTAAATTCATCAAACCCCCCAGACTAAAAAATATAATAATCAATTATAGAAAAAAAAAGTAATTTATGCCTATTAACTTATTTTGGTTTAAAAAAACTTTTTTGTGAAACTTTTGTTAGTAGCAACGTAAACGCATTTTTAAAATGCAAAAAATTTAATCAATTTTTGGAGTCACCATTATCCGGAAAATTTACCACATCGATGTCACATGAATAAGCATTAAATATGTGATGAAGCATGTTACAATTAATAAGTTTACTTATAACAAAAAAGCCACTTTGTAAATACAACTTCTGATTTTTATATATGGTAAAAATTTTCATACAAGAGTAAATAAAAAAAAAATAAAAAAAAAAAATAATATTAATGATTATTCTACAATGTGATATCTTAAGAAACAATTTCTATCTCTTCTACTACATTTGTTTCATCAAGGTTATTGATCAATTCTTGTGATCTTCTAGAAATATTGGCAATATAATAGCCTGCCTGACTCATCATCCAATTCATCATTTTCATGTTGAAACATCTTGAAAATATTTTGTTCAATTGAGCTCATTGTAAATTTTTAATTAAAAATAAAATTAATTGTTTAAAATTTTTTTTTCTTGTTTTCGTTATTTTAAAAATCTTGAGGGAAATCAAAAAAATTAATGTAAAAAGCCAGTTTATGATGGATTTTATATTTGAATTTGGTATTATTGTGTATATTAGAGTTAAAGACATGCAATTTATAGACATGCAATTTATAATCATACAATTTAAAGTCTTATGATTTAAAGTCATGTAATTTTAAGTTTTTTTTTATTTACTAAGTATATTGAACTTGTGTTATTTTACTAAAAAAAAACAGAAAGTTTTATTAGTGAAAGAAAGAGAAACAGGGCTTCGGATAATATGTTAGTTCTTTTTGGAAATTCACACTAAAGAATATTTTTGGAAAAGTGCATAAATGACTATATATTTAGGTTTTACAAGCTTATAGAAATGGTTTTCACAATCATTTTTTCGCTTAGTAAATATAATGCTCAGAGTTAAGATGAAGAACTTTTATTTGTGAAAAAAAAGTGGAATGTCAATTCCGTCCATATATGGATGGAATTTCATTTAAGGGATAGTAATGATATTTAATATTAGCTAGGGGTATGGGGGGACAACTCAAAGTTACACATATAGATATTTGCCGATCTTCCAATTCCAAAACTGTCACCCCTTCAAAAATTAAAAATGTCTTACGTTTCATAGTAAAAAAGAAAACTTTACATATAAAACTTTACACACAAGAATGTTTGAACAGCCGATGCAAAAAATTTAAGTTATTATTGTTGAAAACTTTACACTTCTCAAGTCTTGTTTCGATTGGGCTTGGAATGACATTGTTATTTATTAATTACATAATATATATAATATTTATATACGTTTTTATAATGAAGTTTTTTTTTGGCAGTTTCAAATGAAAAGATTTTATTTTCTTCAAGAAGGAAAGTTGTTTTATACACTAGTAAGCATTTAATTTAAAGAAATTAGGAATTTTATAAAAAAAATTTAACATTAATTACTAATTTAATATATATTTATATATACACGCTTTCAATAGAATTTTTTTTTTAACTTTTTAAATGAAAAAGTTTATTCTTGTTAAGAAATGAAGCTTTTATTTAAGACATTACTTATTATTACTGTGAAGGAAAGCAATGAGTGATAGGAAAAAAACAAAATCTTTAAATAAAATTTTTTTTGTTCTTCAATTACAATTTTAAGAATAATTACTGATTTGAATAATATTTTGTGGTTAACTTTAAAAAATACTTTCCTGTATTTCTACTCAAGTGCAAATATATTCTTTTTTGCTAATGCTTCTTCACTAAAAGGTGTTTCACTTTTCAAATGACTTATAAGTAAAGGAACCAATGTATTTTTTCTTTTTTGTGATGTTTTAACTCCAAATGCCCATAATAACCAGAGCAGATCTGTAACTAAAAAATTTTTTGCAAATTGATTTTCTACATCTTCAAGATGTGCCCATACTTGAAGCTGAACAAGTGCAAGCATTGGATCTGTTGGTAAGTTTGCTTTCTTTATTTGATTAGATATTTTACCTTTCTCATTATTTGAAAGATTCTGGTTATTTGAACGCATAACCTTAAGATTTTCCCTAAGGCTTGCTGTACCTTTCTCTGGTATGTAACCATTATGTTGTCTCCATGTTTTTTGCCAGCTTTTCATGTAGGTAGAAACTAATTTTTCAAATAAAAAAATCAGATCTTCATTTGACAAAGTCAACTTACCTTCAAAATTTTCAGAACTAATATTATCTTGAATTGCAAATTTCAATAATGATGAAAATTTTTCATGCAAATGTAAGTTATTTAACAGGCTGATTCTTATGTAATGTAAAATATTTGGACCAAGCTCATGATGTTTTTCAAATAATTGAATTATTATGGATTCAAAATGATACATGAAGTCCATGATTTCTGGTCCAGGTATGATATTTGTTGTTTGTGAATGAATTTCATGTACATATTCTACATTTTCTGAGCAAAGATTCTTAAGTAAAGAACGCATAATTCCAAATTTTGGATGAGACATCATTACTTTGTCATCTTTTGTAAGCTTAAATACAACCCATCCAACAATATATGCAAATTTTGAAGCTTCTGCAGGATCTAAATTTACAATTACTTGAGGCAACAAATTGGGGTCTGCTCCTTTTTCAAATTCAACATTTTTTGTGCCATTACCTTTAAATGTCTCTAGAATTACTTTTTGCAACATTGAAAAGGCAACAATTCATTGAACAGAAAGTGAAAATTGTGATAATTGAAATTCTTGTTGAAAATACACAAACCAAGTTCCAGAACACAAGTAATTGTTGAGACGATTTTCTAAGTTGGAGCTCCATCTTAACATCCATTTGACTCCTCTTTTTTTTGGAATTGCACTTTGTGCAATCAGTCTAACTTCATTCTGCCAATTTTGTAATAAAACATCAATGGAATTATGATAAATTAGAAATTCAACAAGTTCATACCGTTTTACATTAGAATTAAGAATACTTAAGTTTTCATTGTTGATATATTCATTTAATGAGTTTGATAGAGGTGCAATTCTTCCCATAAGTAGATCATCTTGGAGCAGAGTTTCAAAAATTTTTTGAGATAGGAGAGATAAAGTTACTATAGTTGGCTCGGTCTAAAGACCTCCTAAGTTTTGCATAAATTTTAAAAGTATAGAAGTCACTTTCTGTCCTATC